TATGAGGCATTGAAATAAAATTATTTTTTCAATTTATTTTAGCTACCAATATTTATGCACTGTACACTGAATAGACCAGATGGCCAGATATCCAAAACTGCTTCTCCAGTTATTATTATTTTTTATTTACTGTTCATCATAAATGCTGAAATAAACTGTTGTGTTGTGAGAGAAAATGAATTTCATAGTCTGCTGATAAGAGTAAATCTAAGTGGCAACATTTAGAAGAACAGACCACAATCTGAAAGAAAGAATATAAAACCTGCTGTATTGATAATTCTATCGACAAATTCTCAGCAAAAAGTATCTCTACTAGATCAGAAGAAATTCGGCAACTCAGGCTTTCTGTTTTCGGTTTCTTCTTCACATCCTTCTTACAGACAGAAAGCTATTGATCAAAGCATACATATATATATATTACAAATAAGTGGCTATTCATCAGTTCGCGTTCAGTATTAAGAAATTAGAATTTGTGAGTATATTTGTTGTTGTACAAGTCGCTGGTTATGTGAAATCACCTAAATTACTCAGCAAATGAATTCTACAGTTGAATCACACAAAATGTGGTGAGAGATGTCGCCCAGACAAAATTGGAAGGCAGTAATTTACGTCAATGTTTACGGCCCATATCTTGGTCATGAGAAATAAACAACGACAAAAACTAACTCAACAACCAATAACAGCAGACTTTGAGTGGGCGGATACGAATCTCAGATATATGGTCTGACCTTCAAAGAAACGGCCACAAAGAGATGACAGAATAACTTTCAGCAGAAAAGCAACCAATCAGAAGAGGTTGCTTCTATGCTAATAATAACGAATAATAATGTACATGAAAATATATAAATATCTCTTGATTTCCTCAATAAACGATCTGTTGCCCTGCCCTTATCTTCTGTCGTTACAAAAATATGACTTTAAATTTTACGTATTCTGTGGAAACAGATTCAAAAAACCGTTTCCTTTATACATATCACACCATTACTGATAAACACAATGTCGTTTATAATTATAAGGAAGTGGGTTTAAAGACCGCCTGCAGCAATTACATTATCTGATATTTATTCTTAAATTACATCACAGAATAAACGTTGAATGTCAGTGTTTATCTAAACAAACCTTAGTCTTTCTAGAGCCTAACCTTTCTCTTTTTAGGTAGAGTATGAAGACATTTATTATGAAGTTGACTTTTATCTATCTATCTGTCTATCTATCAATATTTTTAGTAAATAAGACTGACTTCTGATTATTACTCAAATAATTTTGTTGGTCTAGAAATTGCCTATTTTTACCTTTTTATTGTGATTCTTTTAACCCTGTACTCAATACAAAAATTACGGCAAAAATCATTTGATAGATTATGCTAACATTTCTCAGTATCCACAACCTTTGAATTTATTCGTTGTAAACATTATATTCGTGATATATTTATATGAGACATCAGTAATAAATTAAACACTAGGTTTACTGGATACTTGTAGGCAGTTAGAAGAAAGCTCAAAAATTAAGTTTTATGCGTACTGTTGTAACGACAGAAGACAAGGGCCAGGCAACAGATTGTTTATCGAAAAAATTAAGAGGTATTTATAAATTTTTATGTGCATTATTATTAGCAGAGAAGCAACCTCTTCTGATTGGTTGTTTTTCTCCTGTAGGTTATTCTGTCATCTCTTTGAGGCTGTTTCTCAGAATATCTGTAAATCATATTTCCGCACTTTAACTCCGCTGTGATTGTCTGGTGATTTTCTCAAGGTTAAGCTTTGTTATTGTTTTTCTCATGACCCTGATTTGGGACGTAAACATTGACGTAAATTGTTGCCTACAATTTTGGCTTGCAGACAGCTGTCACCACACTGTTACTCTTCAACAGGGCATATTAGCAACCTCAAAGCAACTGATGTCCTAGAATCATATTTGTCATTCAGAGATTATGCACCAATAAACTGAAATGTTTGTATCATTTGACTTCATTGAACTTACTATGCTTCATAATAGAAGATTGATGAATGCTGGGAATTCCGTTCTGTATCACGAGTACTGTTTTGGAATAAAGCAAATTATTATTATTATTAATAACGGAAACGTGAATTTTTCAGTTTATAAATTTACCTTGGAGTCATTTAAGAAAAAATACTTGGCAGACGGGGAAGATTTTTATTTTGACTGTTGGCAACTTTATGACTTCTTATGATTTTATTTACTGGCTTATTATTTGAAAAAAAAGATGTGAGTTCCAGTCTCCTGTTAGTGGGAACCAAAAAAGAAATAGTTCACACAATGCAATAATATAAATTCGATTAAATAAATCCTCACCATTCTTCATTAACTTTCTTTTAAGAGTTGAACGTTTTAATTTTTATTTTGATGGTTTCAAAAGTCTGTGAATATATAGACTTTTCTAAAGTTTGACTTAAATATCGTTTCGGGAATCACTTTAAAGTACGCCTCTCTTGATTTTTATTTATACCTCTATTTATGCGTATATTTTCATTCCTCGCTTAATATTCAAAAATACTTTTAACTTTTTCAGCACCATTGTACAATCGTTTATTGGATTTAGTGGCTAACAGACCTGCGACAATTATATCAGTTGCAGTTACAAGTGCTGCAATCATCGCATCTGTATTCTTTAATAGCTATTTAGGATTCTTTCTCACTTATACACTAGTTGGCGGTAAGTTAATTATTTGTTGATTAGAAAAAATACACTTATGATGCATCTGAATAAAGCAAGAAGAACAATTTTTGCAGAATAATATAGTACCATCATTTATTTCGTTGGCTTCTCATCATCTCAGCTGCTTACAGCCCAAAGTCATTATTAAGGAGCGGTTATCAGTCTTTCCTTGGCCTGTTAACTGGATATTTTCATCCTCAATTTTATGTGATTATGCAACACCGAAGGTTTCCATCGTTTATGATCATTATTGTTTGGGATAAAGTGTTTATTATTATTGTATATTATTGTTTTATGCACATATTGATTGATTTTTGTTTAAAAATGAACTCTGTGCAAGTATGTTAAAATTGTTTCTGTAGATATACTTAATAATGACTTTTGGCTGTAAGCAGCTGAGATGATGAGAAGCCAACGAAATAAATGATGGTACCATTTTATTCTGCAAAACCTGTTCTTCTTACTTTATTCAAATTCATTAACGGGAATAAATGTATTATGCATCTATTATTATTCCGTATGTTAGTAGACTACTGAAATGAATTGGGTTATAATTAAGGCTAACTAAATTAAAACAGAACAATCTCGTAAAGCTTTTAGGGAGCTTAGTAATACATATTCCCATGGGCAAATACTAACATTTTAATCTGGCACACTAGTTCTCTTATTTGTTTTTTCGAAATAGAGTACAGAATAGCCATAGTAATTTGACAATCTGAGTAAATATGTATCAAAGGAAGAAAATGAAAGAAAAAATTGAAGGCTTTAGATTTCAAAAATATTCACCATTATAAAATCATCAAACAACATTTCAGAGTATGAATGCTTCTGAAATCAGGTATCTTTTTTTCCATTTCATTAGCTTTGCTCGATAAATATGAAAACAACTTACCTCTCTCTCTTTCTCCTATGCATTGTTTACAAATTTGAATTCTAATATTATTTAACAGTGGAATAGTTGATGAAACTTCCCAAACTATTAAAAAAATTCGTTGTGAAGTCATGGTTGAAAATTCTCATCGAATTTTTCGGATACATACACCGGAAGTTTATTTCGGATTGCCTAGAAAAAAGGTTTTAATGCGACATTCACATAAATGTTCTAATAAAAGGAAAGGAAGCGAATATGTATGTAAAGACGGGCGTTTCTCAGTAAAAAGAAGGTAAAACTGTATCGTGGGTTGAAACGCATCGATGGCACAGCGGTAGAATGCTCGCCAACCACACAGGCGGTTCGGGGTCCTGGCCGACACACTCCCTTAACTCGCTAAGCTAGTAATAGAACTGGTAAAGAGGGGAAGTTAAGCAAGAGGCTAGCAATCCCATCCCGTAAAAATAAACGCCATCGCTACCGAAACTTCAGAGCTCTAGTTTGAAGCCCTATGTTCCACTGGGAACGTAAAGAAATAAAAAAGTTTTGGGTTAAATGTATATTTACTGGGGAATGACTGGTTTGAGTAGTTGGATACAACTCATATTAATCAGCAGTGATTGCTAGCCAGATGGAAACGATATAAACATCAGCATCTACATTGATATCTATGATATCGAGCCACTAATATTAATCAATTAATAGTGCAGAGCACCATGTATCCACGCTTGCTTTCTTCATTACTATTTGTGGCATCAAGTAGATCATATATTCTGATCTGATTTATTTACGTTTCTAAAGCAAACTATGGTGAAGGTTAATCTGGAACTGTGTGAATTGAAAAGTGATCGACTAATTTGCAAGTTGAGAATTTCATTCTGTATCTTGGGTTGTAAATAAATTAGTAAACGTTGATGAGAAAAGTTACAAATCCAGACAAGGTTTAAACTAGAACCCAGATGAATTATTCTGTCACCTTTTTATTCATTCTTTCCTTTCTGATTGAAACATAGGGCTTCAGGCTTTGAAGTCTGACCAGAGGTGGTCTAGTTTTCACACGTTACCAGCCTCACACTCTAATTTCCCTCTTATTTGATATTACTACCAGCTACGCGATGTTTCGGAGTCGAATCGAACCCTGACCTTTCAGTGCTATTGGCTGGCATTCTTCCACTAAAAGCATCCAACAACTTAACTCACCAAAAATCGAAAACTAATGACAAATATTGCAAATACATCTATATCTATATATATATATATATATATATATATATATATATAATTTTTTTTGTATTTCTACAAATATCTTCGTGAGCACCTTTAGATTTGTAGGTGGCTTTAACATTAAATAGAGAACAGTCATATAAACTAAAAATATTTGATCAGTTGAAATTCCAGACTATATATACATCAACTCGCTAAATGTTTAAATGCATATAACGCTAGTTTTGAAGTTAAACTAACCGAAGCAAATCAGGGTTTTGGTTTATTAAATAAGTAAGGACAAGTAAGCTCTGAAAACCTTTCAGATAACTGTTTTAAAAATAAGTGATTCCCATTTATTTTCTGACATCATCACAGTAGACAAGTTTATGTCTCTCTGAATGCCATACTCATTATTTCTTTAAGCCAATAGCAATATTTTTCACATGAAAATGGAATGATCAGATTGCAGAACCTATTAGTTTGACATTAGGGTTATATCAGATGTATAATAATATATAATAATAATAATAATAGTGAGCAATATTCAAACCTTGAGAAACTAATAAATGCTAACTTCAAAACAGTAGCACAAAATACAGTCAACAAAAATACTGCTTACAAAACACTATATATATAATTTTCATATAAAAGTACAACTTTGATAGTGTGATATCATATAAGTGAGTTTTGTTTTTGTTCACTGGATAGATCACATTATGAAACAGCTTTATTTACCGTAAATAAGAGAGATTCACTGGATGTATAACATATCTAATAAGTAAAGTTGTGTGGAATACAAGATTTATTACTTTCGATAAGAATACTTGCTGAATTAATGTTAACTGTCAGAAAATGAAGGCAGGCCAACAATAACTGATAAACTCCTCAAAAGACATATAACTGTAGTGGAATTTCCAATGTTTTAAGACTTTGTTTTGAATATGTACATATACGAACTGGCTCCAATGCCATTTTGCTTTTTTCCATTGTACTGTTAACACGCACATCCTTTGAGTTTTTTTTATATAGCCATATTCTTAAGATAAGTTTTAGATCTTTTTCCTTGGACAGTGTTTACCTTTAATTCTACTCAAATATACTGCTAACCAGAGCACATTACCTTAATAACTAAGTCTTTTTAATCTGTGCTTGTCGTCAGTACGTACAAGTTAGATAGAGTACTAAATTATTGGGTATATAGATAAGTTACATTTTTCAGTTCTTGGTAAAGTGTAACTTATTAACAGCACTACCAGTACCTTAGATATCCATAAAATCAAAATAAACGCTTGTCATGAAAACAAACAAACAAACAAAATCTGATTTCTTACACTAGGTTTAGTTGGCTTGAAATAGTCAGTTTATATGTCTACAGGGAATCTTAATCTCGCTGCTTTTAATATTGCTTAGCGATGAATAGCAGTGGAACCCAGAACGATTGTTAAATCATATTTCCCAATGGTCAGTGAGTGACAACCACTTCTGTGTTTCAAGCTTTATGTTCAAATTTCAATGGTAAGGCACCAGTCACAAGTAGCCATAGACACTCGTAGACAAAGAATCGTAAGTTATGAAATTCACTGCCAACTGTTATTAAACGAAAGAAAAGTGTCCAATCACGGATCGATAACAGTTAGAGAGCCATTGAAAAGCTGGAAGTACTGGACATCTGTTTATTTCTAGTTTGAACTCACTGGTAGTATACATCCACCGGAGTTCGAATCCAGGACCTTCCGGTTACAAGGCGAGCTTGTAGACTATTCAGACACTGGTCCATGAGCCGTAACTCCTATTAATTCGTAATTTTAGATGGACCACCAACCAGCCAATGTCATCGGCGATTATTTAACCTCACTCTCGACCTAATGGACCCCACTGGTCACGACCTCTCACTAGAAGTGCAGGCAACATCGTCCTGCAGCTCATCACTAGCAGCCATCAAATTAATTTTTAAGAGTGTGTTTGTGGAGATTCGATTTGTTTCAAGTTTCTGCTAACTAACCCTTGTAAATAAAAATGATTTGAATATAGATAAACTTTGAGGTATCTAAAGTGGAAAAAGGAGCGAAAATCAACTTAAAAATATACAGAAACAGGAAATCAATAAAGTAGACTAGAAAAGCACGTAAGAGATGAGACTAAAATGTTGAAAAAATAGACAGAGAAAGAAAAATCAAAAGATTATTGTTGGAATGAGTGTAAGTAAATAAATAATAACAAATAATCATTGGAAAAAGCAAGTAAATTGACAGAGTTTCAAACCGGATGTGGGTGCAGTGAACAGGGAGAATAACTGATCTTCAATAATCTATTTTCAATTCTAATACAATATTACAAACAATATATGAAATGGTGAAGTTACCTTATCCACTTATACATTTGCAAACTATTAATCTGAAATGTAGTATCAAACAAATGAATTAGGTTTTCATATAAAGTCATAGATGCTAAGGTTTGAAAATTCTTGAAACATTTCTAAAAACATTTCACGAATTCAATATGATTGTAGTGAAAAGTACTTTTAACTGCATTATGCCTATTCTATTGATATGCTTATTTTTGAATATTATTTCTTTCTCTATTTCTTCAATTCAGGTATAGGAATGGGTATAAGTTTTGTTCGAGTGATAGCTGTTATGGCTGAATATTTTGACAATTACAGAATACTTGCATTAGCTATTTGTAGTAGTGGTGCTGGTTTTGGAACTGTTATTTATTCCCAACTAGGCAATTATATGATTGACAATTATACATGGCGTATTGCATTAATCTCATTCGCTTTACTTCATCTTAATGTCATCCCATTAAGTCTTTTAAATCGTCCCTTGTCATCAGAACCAACACCAGAGCCTACAATTCTAATGCCTAATGATCCAATCATGTCTACAATGAGTTTAAAATCTGTTCCTGGAATACCAAATATGTATGCTTCACAAATAAGTACAATGGGTGGCGGTATCGGTGGTAGTATTTTAACTAATATGGATGAAACTGGTCAAAGGTGTAAATCAGAGACAATGTTTACTCGTTTAACAGGACAAGATATAATTGGTGTTGTAGAATTTATTAAAATAAGCTGTGATAAATCAAATACTAATGAATTAACTGTCAGTCCAATCAATTTTATCAATGACTTGGAACCACAGATATTAGAGCGTATACAAACAGCAGCTGATGAATATTTCGATAATTTAGAAAATAATACACCTGAAACACTATTAAACAATGTGGATGAAACTCAGTTGAACATGTTCCTTCCAATTATCTTCTTAGTCTGTGATCGATTAACTGGAATTCAGAGTAATTTACCATCGGAAAAACAATTTTTACTTGGTAGTCGTTTAAGTGGTATAGAAAAATTGTTTACTGATCGCTCTAGTCAACTGGGATCTACAGCGTTTATGAACACATACACAAGTGTTGAACAAATACCAAATTTGAATAAAGCAACAACTCCAAAAACAGTACAAAAACCAAGCTCATTCATTGGTGATTCAATCACTTCAAGTGTACTCAAAGCTTATGATGCTAAACAAACTGCGAATATGATACGTGCAATTATTCAGCGTGCTTCAAATAAAGTAACAGAAATTTCAAAAGAATTAATATCAAATAAAATACTTGTTCATCCTAAACCGCTGATTGTGATTATAAACCAGAAATCTATTGATACAGTTAATTCAAAATTACCATCAGAAGATCGACTATGTGTACTGGGCTACACTAAACCAGGTGATGATACAATTTTCGAAGAGAGCGAAAATGAATATCAAAATGATAATGAAAGTAATGATGATGATGATAATGACAGTGGTAATAATATTGACAATGAAAATATCAGCCCAAAATCTGAACAAACCGTCAAAGAGACTGTTAAAACTTCTGGACGTAATAGATTAATTTCACCTGGATATCATTTAACTAACTCGTACTTAAACCTCCGTAGTCCTAAGATTTCCTGCGGATCTAGAGGATACATTGATCAGATGATACGTAGTGGGACTACTGTTTATCAAAGTCAAGCCATTATAGCACCATTTTACAAGTATAGAGACATGCCTGTCAAAACTAGCTGTTTGTCGATGACTTCAGTGATGGAACCGAAAGAAGCTGTTGAATACTTGACATCTAAAATTGATAATGAACAAGACCAAGAATATTCATCAGATGAAGAAAGGAAAAAAGCAAAACAGTCAATTGTGAATTCAAAAAATATTCTATTTTTGAGCTTTTTAATAACTCGTACACTAACCTACATTGGTGATTCCATATTATTTGCACATTTCATTAATTTCGGTATTAGTAGTGGACTGAAAGAAGAACAAGCAACAGGTCTGCTTGCATACGTTGGTTTAGCCAGTATGTTAGGTAGATTAGGCATAGGACTAGTTGGGCAGTTTTCAGAGAAACTGGAAATTCGTTCAATTGTGGCAGTAACGCTGTTCATTTTATCCATACACACTATATTTATGCCTTTCTATCCAACGTATCCAGCGTTAGCCGGTTATGGCATATGTTACAGTTTATTTGTTGGACCAAGTTTTGCATTCTCAAATTCAATGACTATTCAAATTATGGGTGACGCAAAAATGGATCGCAGTTTATCACTGGTACTATTCTTTGAAGCAACAGGCTATCTCATTGGTGGACCTTTAGGAGGTGAGTTAAATCGAAGAAATTAGTTTTATTTCTTTGCAGGATTTCATCATGAGCTGACATCAGTTCGAGAACCACTGGAAAACCTGGGAGTACTGGACAGTTGTTTATTTCTAGTTTGTGGCTCTTCGACAGTACGCACCCAACAGGGTTCGAACCCACGACCTTCTGGTTACACGGTTAGCTCGTAGACCATTAAGCCACAGGGACTCCATCCAGTGGCCCACAGATTCTGATTAAGAGTCCAAAACTAGGACGAAACAGCTGTCCAGTACTCCCAGGTTTTCCAGTGGTTCTTCAACTGATATCAGCTTATGATGACATCTTTCAACCAAATCCCTACAAAACAAATAATTGAAAGTTTCATTTCTTTTGATAACTTCTTAGCCGTAAGTTATTTCTTCCTTGTGAGTAAGGGTGTCACTAATAGTGATTTTAACACAGTATTCAAAGTTCAGAATGTTAGAAAAAGTTGCCCAAAATGATGCAGATTTCAAATGGATTTCACTATCTACTAAAACGAAATATATAACATACAATGCAAGCATCATTCCTACAAATGAACATGTCAAAACAGACTTATTTAACAGGTGCAGTAAAATGAGTAGTTAGAAATCACAGTTGTCATATGAAGTGTCGAACGAAATATTCCCATTTTGAGTCATAAGAAAAAGACTTGAACAGAGAAGAGAATTTTCTTTTCGGCCACTCATTTTCATACGCTGAACAATCGTAATTATATGAAACAAAAAGTCATACGACCAATCATAAAATGGTGAAATTTATCGTTAGAAAAGTATTACGTAATGTAGGGTGTAATCTAGAAGGGATGACTAATTGGGAATTAGAAAAGGGGCAGAATTAGGGATGACGTAATAAGTGTGAGGAGATGACTAGTAAATATAATTGTGAAGGGTAGACAAGGACTAATGCGCGTCGGTGGTATAACGGCTAGGACGCTCGCCGACCATGCATATGGTCTGGGGTTCGATCCCCGGCCGGCGCACTCCTTAACCTAGCTAAGCCAGAGATAATGCTGGTGAAGAGGAAAGGTTGGGCATGAGGCTAGCAACTCCATCCTGTAAAATAAGCAGTGCTACAGAAACTTCAAGCCACTAGCTTGAAGCCCTATGTTCCACTGGGGAAAGTGAAGGAAAAAAAAGACAAGGACTAGTAGAAAGACAACAAGGTATTATTATAAAATCCGTATAAAAATCCAGTGTTATTAATAAACAGTTGTAATGATAAAATATGGATGATGAGAATAATAGTAATAATAATAATAATAAACTTACATAATAAAAAGAAGCAAAATTGTAGTAAGAACGTCACTCTTGCTTCCTTTTATTATGTTATTTTTTATTACGTCATTATTATTATTATTTTATTACCATTATCATTCCCATCATCCATATTTTATTATAATAATTTATTATAATTCCTTTGGGTTCCGAGTGGAACATATGGCTTCGACAAAACATATCCACTTTGTCCTATTTTCTGGTCTCCTCTTCAGATGGGTCCACTATTGCCCATAATCTCTCATCTCCTCCTCACCATACGATTTCCATGTCACCCTCACACTGACGACCCACTCGTCACTTCCCATTGGGATTCCACTCGAGCAATGAGTGCGATGTCACTCGACGTCCTCCTCAACGTATTCTCAATGCATCTCCCCTTCCTCCTACATATTTGTTAGGCGATCGGCTCTTGGTTTGCTAGTTTGCAAAGTTTCTTGTTGCTAATTCTTTCTGACCGACTGGCCATTTGATCTTCAGTATTTAGACAGCGAAGGCAGCTGTTGATAAAAGTCTGTAAATTGTTGAAAATCCTTTCCTAACGTGCAGTGCAAATTCCTAACCCATAGAGAAGAATTAACTGACTTGACATTTGTGTTTAAAATCCGAATCTTGTTATTTATGCTGGTTGCGTGTATAACATTTTGAAACTGGTTTCAGGTTGATGAAGGCATATCTTGACTTTCCGATTCTGATTTTGACATCTTCTGTTCCGTCTGTGGTTGAAACCGTGCTTCCTAGATAACTGGCAATAATAATAACAGTAAACTTACATTATGAAAAGAGGCAAAATTATAGTAAGAACGTTACTCTGGCAACAGTAGGGTTAGTGAATGTATGTTTTTTTCCCTTTACGTTCCCCGGTGGAACATAGGGCTTCAAGCTAGTGGCTTGAAGTTTCTGTAGGAGAATTTATTTTACAGGATGGAGTTGCTGGCCTCATGCCCAACCTTTCCTCTTCACCAGCATTATCTCTGGCTTAGCTAGGTTAAGGAGTGCGCCGGCCGGGGGTCGAACACGAGACCATGTGCATGGTCGGCGAGCGTCCTAACCGCTATACCACCGACACACAAGTGAATGTATGTTGTGCTTTTGAATGCTGAGGTCCGGTTTTATATACCAAATAGCCAATGATTCAGCTATGCACAGACGGCGTATTAGAAGTCCTTCCACACGATATTGAGGGACTCTATGTAGCACTGTGAATCATTCATACGACAGGTACTTGATGTCCAGAGTTGACAAGGTGTTCGAGGATATAGCTGCTAGTATTCTTCACTTCTCCTCTGGCTAGCTAGCCAAGCTGGACTGTGTTCCAGAATAAGTTTGTGAACTTGACGTTACGTACGGCCGATACAATTTTCTCCCCATGAACATGTAAGTAAACTGATAAATACACATTGAGGTGGCCAGAATGGTATCTTATCCTTAACGTTAGACTAGATAAATTGTCGGCTGGAGAATGGGATGTGTAAGGTGGCTGCTTGGAATGTCTTCTTGAAATATTCAGAAAGGCGGTGTCTAAAAATTTCTACTTCGATGTCACCTTTGAATTGGAGGTTCGTGAAGAGAGTTTTCTGAGGAACAGTTGTGATTTTCGGCGATGGAGGCTTTCCTTCATATTTTTATCGATGAGTCTTGTTGGATACCCGTTTTCTACTAGGGTTTCACGTAATGAATTTAATTCTTTCTCTGTCGAGTCTTCCGAACAGATTTTCCGAATCCTTGCACTTAATGGGACGAAGCTCAGGAAGTTGATAAACTGTCCTGTCAATGTTGGCTTTCGATATATTGACCTTTGGATTGTTCACTTTTGTCTTCTGGTAAACATCACACTCAGGAATGGAAATACATATTTGACACATGTTCTAAGGTGAATTTTATTGATGGTGTGTGCCACGTTGAAGGTTTTGAAGAGATACTCCCATTCAACTTTTTCATCACAAATTATAAACGCATCATCTACGTATCTCTTATATATAACTGTAGTTCACTGATCAAAGGTTTGAAGATGTTGTTTTCGTGACTCGCCATGAAACTGTCAGCTAAGATTGGACCACGAGGAGACGTCATAGCTACACCATCTTTCTGTACATAGAATTTTTTATTGAATTTGAATTGAATACTAAATGTGCATCTGAGAAGTAGTTCCTTCAGATAGTTGATGAAAAGAGGAACTTCTAGGATGTTGGTTTTGATGTGCTTATGGATGAAGCATATTGTTTCTGTCAGGGGGATGCCTGTGAATAGAGAGGAGACATCTAAGGAAAGCATTTGTTTTTCAAACACGTTGATATCTTCCACTGAATCGATGAAGTCGAATGTATCACTAAGGCTAAACATTGTAATCTGTCTTCCTTCTGGTTCAAGGATATCTGCTAGCCACTTTGCGATGTGATGGGCTGACCATGCGTGTGATAGGTCGAAGTGGAACAATCTTCTCATGCACTTTAGGCAATCCATGTAGTCTTGGAATAATTGAAATACATGGCTTTATTTGTTCATATACATCCAATGTTATTGTTGAATCTTCTTTCATTTTCTTCAGCAATTTTGTAAGGAGGTTTTATGTTCTTTCTGTTGTGTCTTTCTGACTGAGTGGTTTGAAAAATTTGGTGTTGCCTTATAGTACGCCTGTTAATTTATCAACATAGTTTGATCCGTTCATTATCATATATAGTGTTATACATTTTAAAAAAGCTGTGGGATTGCAAAATTTAAATCCGAGTTATTACAAAAACAAATAATTTTGTGGTGAGAGCTGGCTGCTAACCAAAGTTGGTAGACAGTAATTGACGTCAATGTTTATGTCCCCAATATTGGTGGTGAGAAAATGAGAACAAAGGCTTTGCGTAGGCGGATACAGTTAGCATATGGATGATCTGAAACAGCCACAAAGAGATGCAAGGTTAACTTTCTGTGAGAAACAACCAATCAAAAGACTGTATTTTCTACTAACAATAATCTATAATAATGTACATTAAAATCTATAAATATGTGTTGATTTTCCTTAATAAACGATCTGTTGCCTGACCCTTGTCTTCTGTTGTTACAATTTCTATAGCACATAAACAAAGTGAATGCAGTGAATCGAAATTGTGAATTTCTTACAAACGAAGTATTCAGAAGAAAAGTTTAGTGAATTTTCGTTTAACATCATGGTAGTGAAATGAATAGGTATTGGCCTAACTTGATAACTTCCTAATTACTTAAAATGGTATAGTTGTGCATGCCCACGATTCTAAAGAGCAGAAGTACATATTCTAACATCAGAATTTTTTAAAATGGTAGTGACGACCAAACAGTCACTTAAATCATCTGTCATACACACAAAGGTTTCTCAACTTTCATTTATCCTAATTAAGTTCATTTAATCTACTATTTTAAGAGTTCAGTCTGCTGACTTTACATTTTCAAACGTTTTCTCTACTGGAGTATTACTAACAGCTGCCAACCTTGATGGCATTTGTTATTACAATTTTGACACTAAGAAATGGAAATATGAATTGACATGACTGTTCATTCCGCCCACCAAAATGTATCATACTTACTGTATTTTATATTGTTTTAACCCTCCAACTCCATTCATAAATCTGAACCTACTGTCATGCACGTTTTCACCTAGGTTTCAACCTATTTCTAGGAACTGTTTCTACACTTCGCAGAGAAGTAGAGCATGCTGACGATGGAACAATATTGCTTCAATTGACACATTAACGATCACTATATTACTTGAAAGTAATGCACGAGGAGCAAATATCTTGCAATAAAACAGGCTGAAAATTCTCTACCATATTCAAAATGGTCTTTCCAGAATAAAGCTGTTAATTAGAAAACCACTAAAACCAGGGAGTACTGGTTTTCAATGGTTCTCTAGCTGATATCAATCCGTCATCATCTCGTCGTGACCAGTAGGGTGCAGCAGGTCGGGTGTGAGGACAAATACTCGCCGAAGACATTGGCTAGCGGTTGCGCTATATCGTGAACTGGCAGAAGTTAGAATTCATGGGCTATTGGATCGGGTCCTAGTGGCTTAATGGTATATGAGCTCGCCTTGTAACCAGAAGGTCCTGGGTTCAAACTCCGGTGAGTGCGTACTGATGAAGAGTCCCAAACTAGGACGAAACAGCTGTCCAGTACTCCCAGGTTTTCCAGTGGTTCTCTAACCAATGTCAGCTCATGATGAAATCCTGTAACAAATCTAATCCTTACAGACCAATCATTGAAATAGCTGTTAATACTAATTAATATGGTGAGATTTGAAGTCAATTAAAAATACGTATTATATCAGCTTTAAATATCAATGGGTTCATTTGATATTTCATAAATTGCGTATTCGTCTTCAGTCTCTATACAAAATAATTTTATCACAAAAGATGTTCTTATAACCTCTCTCTAACATAGTTTTTCGTAGGATCTTTTGGAGAAATACAATACTTACATGTCTCCATGATTATTGGGAATTCATAAAGTAGTTCTAAGCCCTACATGAATAATTTCTATCTGCATTATCAGTGTCCCATAATAAGCAAAAAATAACCTTAATTTATACTATCTTCTGTTGTTTCAAATGTGCTAAGTTCATTTAACAATACTGATTCCTGAATGTATTACAGTATGAACTGAAGTAGGTTGCATTTGTTGTTAGACTGGCAAAGATTACCATCCAAAATTGAAAATAAACACATCAGTAGATAATGAATAAACACAATTCAATAGTTGATTACTGAATTCTGTATGTAATAGTTTTGAAGGATTAATTTTATTTCCTAAGGAGGATAATTGAAGTTGAGATCAAAACTTATGTAGAGCTACAGTATTCTGACTATCACTTCCTCTAAAATGGTTTTAAAGAATAAATAATTTTTCAACATTGCCTGACTCTGTCTTTCATGTTCTCAAATCAAATATACTTTTTTCTTCTTCACTCTTTTTTCATCTCTCTTGTTTTCTTCTACTTTTTATTTAGGTATTATTAAAGAACAAACTGGAAATTATTCATCTACATTTTTATTTTCTGGATTATGTAATATAATTGCTTCTATAATTGTAACCGTACATGCTTTGATTAAATTTAATTCATTTGAAAGAATAAAACAATATTTATTTCCAAGAGTAAACCAAAAAATCGACAATTTAAATGAACTTTCTGTCTAATGATAAAAATATATTTATTGTTATTACTTGTAAAGTATCAGAAAACTAGTAATAAAATGACAATCATATTTCCCACACAAATCATCGAAATAGTCAATTTAAACAAAAATGAAAAGAGGCAATTATTTCTGTATTTTTTTATATTAATACTGACCAGTGAATAAGATTATGTAGACTTTCAGTTTACTTATCAGTTCAAACATTAAGTGAATGTATTGATTATGACAAGATGATATTACCTGTTAATGCAAACCTCCCCCAAAAACATCAGATACTCATTGATGTTATTAAACTGATATATGGAGAGACATTGAGGAATATATTATTCGATATATAAAACAATATTTGTGATTCAACCTTTGGAGCATATCAAAAGATGTGCTATATTTTTTTGACTACATTTTTCTACACCATAAGATTTTAGAAATATAACATCACAAGTTCAAATGAGGTTCATCATGACTATTTTTTTTCTTTAGAAATCAAAGAACTTCATAAACTTTATTATTTTGTCATATCGAAATCAAAAGAGTAAACTTTGTTTGTTTTGAGGCAAGTTTGAGCAACACATACCTATTTGATTAAAGCTCATTTGAGAATCCCAAGTATACTTTCCTAAATTGGTATAACATGGATTTTTCGAATAACCTATTTCCCATGTCAATGTAATCGATATCACTTGTATTTTTCTTGTGATTTTCTGTGTTTTACGTATTGAGTAAGGTGATTTCTTTTAGTTGTCATTTTTCATATTTTAAATGTACTTTAAGTATTGACTATATCATATTTTCTCAGTTGTTTAAATAGTCGATTTGATTTACATTAGGTTACATGCATTAAAGTGCATTGGTTGATTCAAAGTGCCGCATTTTCCTGAGGTGTAAACATCTAACTTTCTAGTCAAACTTACCGAATATTCCTTGACTGTCCGTTATTCCATAAGTGAACTGAATTGTAATTCATAGTATACTTATTTGTGTAAAAAGCTTAATTATACCATTTGACCTGAGAACTATGATTCATATATGCACACTTTATTGGCAAAGTAAAGGTAATTGTGCTATCAGCTGTTTTTTTTTCATAAAAGTCTATAAAAATATTTTCCACAACTGGGAGATATTAGCGTTGCGGTTTCAAATTCTACATGACAAACTCATCCAACTAAAATAAGACTTCACAGATTTCCCAGACCTGTGGGATATATTGACGCTTTTAGAGGGGTGATTATATGGCACCAGTTGCTTTATGCTGTGGGCATTAGAACGTTTCAAAAAACAAGCCTAATATACTGACATGATTTTATGAAAATCCAAAAATGTGCCTTTATTTTTCGAAATTACTACTTCTCTTAATCCATTACATTGAGCGGATATCAATGTCAAGTGACATTTTCTGCTGAAAAAGCAGCAAATGCAATGCAGTTTAAAAATGTAATGCCACTGATAATGTCAGAAAAGAAATTTTATAATGTAAATTTCCATTGAAAAGAATATGGAAATGTAACTTGTCATTAAGTCATTATAGCAACGAACTACGACGCTACAGTTAGCAGGGATATCCAATAAATTCACTCCTTTCCGATCATCATGGAATGAGAGTGACTCATCGTATATTTCATCTGCTAAACAAAAATTTCTTTAGATAAGTTAACCTACTTATATACACTATTTAGTAGACATACAAGTTATACAAAAATAAAGTGCTGAGTTGAAAAATGAGGTTGAACAGATTAAGAACAAGTCTTTTTTTCCAGAATAAAGTGGAACGAAAATCTAACAAATCATTAGCTTTGACGAAGATGCTGGGCAGCCAAAAGATGATGAATTGACCTTAACTGAAGTGTCACTGTAGAGCATTTCACAGAATGGCATCAATTCAGTTTGTCAAAATTCGTGAAAGGGTATAAAATTAGGAGAAAGAAATGTCATGAAATCGTAATTAAACCTAAATCAGCTAACAAACCTCATCGAAGAGGTTGGTGACTGGACATATGTATCACATGTTCTATGCATCTCAGTCGATGCAGTATGAAGAGTAATATGTACAGCTTCTTGAACCTAGATCCAATAGATTCAGTACAGTTAATGATTGCATATATACACTGCTTAGTGTGTAATAGTTGACAAAACTTTTAAGACTTTTACCACGGAAAATGATTGCATTCACGAAAATCCTTGGTAAACATAAAGTATTACATCGGCAGGAAACCTTGGACCTAGATTTCGTTCAAATTGACACTCAAAATTCGTCAAGGCGTATCTGCAACCTTGAAAGAACTGATGCCCCTTCTGAGATTCGATCTCGCGTCACCTAGTGAGTACTGCAGTCAGAGACGTTACCACTGTGAAAGTGATATGTGGATGACACTTTCACAGTGTTAAAAACAGAACATATCTCTAGCTTCTTGACACACATAAACTCACTAGTGAAGGGAATAAAATTCACATTTGAAGCCGAAAATGAGCAAGGAGAATTAGCTATGTTAGATTGTTAAATAAAACGAATAGAAGAAGGCAAACTTGATATATACACAGGTGACTCATCAATATTCATTATTTATTTCCCACACCTGTATGATCATTGATTTCCCGCATCTGCATGATTATTGATTTTAATTACTGAATTCCCATGGTTTGTTAATATTTTAAAATGTGACATTGATTTTCCTAACTGTATAAATACGGAGTATTTGTTTAACATTTCGACTGTTGTAGAGACAGTAAAAGCTCTCGTATCAACGTCCAGTCTTCTTTCTTTGTCTTGCGTGCCCGGCGGTATTGTTGTTGATGTTGTTGACGTGCGATTAGGACAGATTAGTCAGCGCATTAAGTTAGATTCGCTCGTAGTCTACAAGGTCCTAATATCTCATACATAACAAAACTACACACTAGTGTTTATAGAAAACCAACGCATTCTAATAGATATTTAGACTTTAATTCATCTCATCCTTTAACTGTTAAGGCAGGCTTAGTTAATTGTTTAACAAACCGAGCAATGGCACTAAGTAGCACAAAAAAAGACCTAAATGATGAGATAAAACAGATAGAAGAGGCGTTGGTGTTAAATAACTGTCCTCTAAAATCCATTAGGAAGATTGAAAAAGGCCAAAATAAAAATAATTGTGAAACTAGTAATAATAACATAAATAAGAGAGAATATAAGTCATCTACAGTTATACCATATAAGGAGGGGACATCTGAGACCCTACGTAGGATTCTAAATAAAGCAGGAATTAGGGTGGCATTTAAACCTACAAACTCACTCAGGGACAAGCTCTGTAGGTTAAAGGACCCAGTGGACCCAATTAGACAAAATAATATAATTTACAAAATACCCTGCAATGACTGTGAGGTCAACTACATAGGTCAAACTAGTAGGTCAGGGGTAGTCAGATTGTCAGAACATAAGAATTTAGCTAAGGTAAGAATGGTTGACCCAGAGAAGATAAGTAATTTAGAAAAAAGCTCAGCAATTGCAATGCATGCATTAGCACACAACCACACAATAGGGTGGGAGAGGGTTAAAATTCTAAAAAGTAATCTAGGTAGGTGGAGAGAGAGATTGATTACTGAATCCTTGTTCATCGAGTGAATCTACACCCAACACATGCAATAGGAATGAATCATCACTCATACCCGAAATATGGAAAATATTACTACCAATCGAATCAAGTGAAAAACAATGGAACTATATAAATGAATTTAGGAAGTCGTGTGATTACCTTGATATGATTATGAGCAATAAATTGTGCTCGAACGTCATCAGTAAATATTACTGTATAACACTGAATATTTTGATTGGACACTAGTTAGTAAATAGTGTAATGAATCTAGTCCTATCTTTGCTTTAGACTGAATCCTATCAGTCAAGTTTGCAGTGTGTCCAATGAAAAATATTCAATACAGTCCTATAGGAGGTCAATCGCGAGTCCGAATAGATGAATGGTAACGTCTCTGACTGCAGTACTCACTGGGTGACGCGAGTTCAAAACTCAGAAGGGATATAAGTTCTTTCAACGTTACTGACAAGTATCAACTAGCACGAAATCTAGGCCCATGCTTCCTGCTGATTGCCTCCAACCACCTTACATCAACAATTCAAAGTGCACCGTGATGGCAAGCCACCTAGTATGGTGGCCACATAGCAAACTTGACTGACAGAATTCAGTCTGCACCAAAGAGAGGACTAGACACATTGCATTAGTTACTGAGTAGTGTCAAATCAAAAATAGAGTATCAAAACCCAAGCGAACGACGTACCAAATGACTATGTATAGCCAATCAGAATAGCCACATGATGATAATACATGAAATAGTAAGAAACGTATAATTAACATAAATCGATAAGAATATATATTTGATCATCCTAACCTTAACCTTGATCCTAGTGTGGTGACAGCTGTCTGCTAGCCAAAATTGGTAGACAGCAATTTACGTCAATGTTTACGTCCCATATCTTGGTCATGAGAAATAAACAAGAACAAAGACTAACTCAACAACCAGTAACAGCAGACTTTGAGTGAGCGTATACGATTCGCAGGTATATGGTCTGACCTTCCAAAAAACGGCCACAGAGAGATGACAGAATAACTTTCAATGAGAAAACAACCAATCAAAAGACGCTGTTTCTCCGCTAATAATAACGTATATTCCTCAATAAACGATCTGTTGACTGGTCATTATCTTCTGTCGTTACACTAGTACTAACCTTAACTCTGGTCTGAACCTTAACTTCAATCATGAACTGCACTTTAAGTGAAAGAAATAAGGATGAAACTGCAGATCAACCCATGAATACACGGAACAGAATAGATGCTTAAAGAAGAACGATCTGGTTGGTCATACAGGGTCACATGGTTGGTCGTTTTTTTTGTTTTCAGTACCTTAGGTTTACCGTAATGGTGAATTGTATAAAAGATATTTTGTGTTTAAAAAGCTAGAGTGAAGGAAGTTCACAACAGCTATGATACTACTGTAACGACAGAAAGCAAGACTCAGGCAACAGATTGTTTATTATGGAAATCAACACATATTTATAGATTTTCGTGTACACTATTATACATTATTGTTAGCTGACAAACACAGTTTTCTGATTGGTTGTTTCTCACTAAAAGTTAATCTTTCATCTCTTTGTTGCTGTCTCTTGAGTGTCAGATCATCTATCTGCTAATTGTATCCGCCTTCGCAAAGTCTGCTGTCCATCTTTGATCTTGTTTTCACATGACCAATATTTGAGACATAAACATTGACGTTAATTACTGTCTACCAATTTGGCTAGCAGCCATCTCTCACCACACTATCACAAAGAAAAGAAATTTAGTCCATTATACCTTCCTATCATGGAATTAGGAAAATAATGATTACTAAAATAACAGAAGCATTCAGTTCATCATGTGATAGTAAATTGAAACAGTATAATTGATAATTAATCACATGACATACTGAATAAAATATACTACTAATAAATACAACATAATAATAATCTAAAGTAAAAGGAGTGTGATGATGACAACAGATGACTATGGTCACAGAAAATGTAACTAACTAATTCAGTGGATGTTAAGCTATTCTTGATTGAGTAGAACAACACAGGACGGAGGGAGATAATTTCTGTTAGAGAGATTAAATTAAATCGAGGAATTTCAGTTTTCTTAAAAAGGATCAATTATGATAAGTAAAAAGAAGCAATTTATCCAAGGAAAGCGTAAATTTACAATGGCTTCAGTTGACCTATTAATAAATCAGTTAACTGATCCACGTATAGTAAGTGGTGAAAATGCAAAAATTACCGAGAAAGAACTTATCATAATGATGAAGCATATAGTAGACATTTTCTTAGAAGAACCAGTTTGTATCGATTTAAAATCAGATAGACCAATTTATATAATCGGTGATATTTTTGCTCATTTCCAGGACTTAGTTAATATATTCAATGCACTAGGTCATCCAGATCGTCAGGTTTATTTATTTCTTGGTAACTATATTGATCGTGGTAGTAGATCGATTGAAACAATTACTCTATTATTTGCTTATAAATTAAAACATCCACGTAATATATTTTTGTTACGAGGTAATCATGAATGTGAGTATGTTTCAAGTCATTATGGGTTCCTGGATGAATGTATACAACGATATAGTCGACGTTTATGGAAATCAGCTATGAATACATTTGATTGTCTTCCAGTTGCTGCTATTATTGATGATACAATATTTTGTGTACACAGTGGATTAATCCCATGTATACAATATTCAAATATAGCGAGTAAAATACAATTAAGAGATTATTTAGGTGATATAATTCGACGTCCAGTTGCAATACCGGATAACTTTTTATTAACACATTTAACCTGGTCAGAACCATTAGAGAATTCCACTGGTTGGCAATGGAATCCATGTGGTTTAGGTCAATGGTATGGTGAAGATGTTATTGATGAATTTTGTCAAAGATTTAACTTTCAACAAATTATTCGTTCACACGACTTATTTCATAGTGGTTATGAATTTTCAGCCAATGAAAAAATGCTAAGTATTTGTACTGCTGTTAATTTAATGAATACAATCAAAAATTATGGTGCAATTGTAAAATTATGTAAATCACCATTAAATAATATAATTAGAGGGACAATAAAAATTATTAAACCAAAGATAAGTTCACATCGAAATAAACCATCAAAAGAAATAATAATTATTGATTCTGCAACTCATAAAACTCAAAATTCTGACAATGATCCATGGGAAGGCGGTGAAGAGACTACAGTCACGAATTTAACGACAACACAAGAAAGCTCATCAAAGAATCAGTCGTTAAATAGTAATTTACACTATAATCCTGAATACATTGATCAGCCTTTACATAGGCAAAATTCTCATCAAAATCGATTCACTCTACAAAAAGTGTTATAGGATGACAATGCACATAGAGAAGTGCATATATACATATATTATATATGTGCCTTTAAATAAAAAAAATGTTTTGACCTTCATTTTTGTTTCAATTCACTAACGTAATTTCTGTTTAAATTTTACAAACAGAATATGACAACAGAAAGTGAGTGTGAATACACGTGGGAATTTTTCTTTTTGTAATATGTCAAGCTGTTAGTAGTTTTCCATGTTGGCTTTAGATACTTAGAGTTAATTGACAAGGGATTCACGATTCACTGAATATTTTTAGGTTGTGAATGATTTCAGATAAGAATGAAAAGATGATTTTTAAAGTTTGTTGTACACGCACAAACTGTCTACTGGCTGACGTAGATATTTAAGGGTACAGGCTACCTTGATATACTATACTAACACCAATATAAGATGTATGATTTTTATGACCGGAGCTACGACCTAGTAGACTATGAGCGAATACTAACTTATTGAGCTGGTTAATCTGTCCCAATCGCGCAGCGACGACAACGACAACAACAATAAGGCTACTGGCACGCAAAAGACAAAAGAAAAGACTATCTGAAAAAAGAGCTGATAGCGCTTGCATGTATATATGTTTAAAATGACCATGAGTGGCACTAATGTCATTGGATAAATTAAACAGTGAACAGCCAATAGGATTTCAAAGGTCATAATTAGGGTGAGAGAAACACAAACACACGCGTAAAAATGACATGTAGAAAATTAGGTCTATATATCAACGATATACTGAGGAAGGAAACCAAACAATTCAGTGTCTCTGAAATAAACAATTAGGCTAATGTGTTTAGCTGTCACTAACTTTGATTCGGATTGATGTAGACGACACTAATAACAGTGCTGCAACTGAAACTTAATGAGAAAACCATCAAGTGACATCACAAGACAGTCCCTCGAGTGGAACCTGAACAGGAAGCAGCGAGTTGGTCGTCAGTGTGAGGATAGGGTGACATGGAGGAGGTCATGTGAAGAGGAGATGAAAGCAAGTGGGCAGACGTGGAGCCAGGTAAAAAAAAACGTTGGCAGAGAACCGAACGCAATGGAGACGTGCGGCTGAAGCCGTATTTTCCTCTAGAAACTAAAGCATTAATGCATGAAGACAACAAGCAACTCGTCATAAAAACTAAGTACCAATAACTATTTCCAAACACTCCTGACCTCCAGAACTCACGTAAATAAATCTAGAAGATAGATTGATTCAACTCACTTAGAACAATCGACTTTCATCATACAACTTTACAAAACGTGTCAAGGTTAATTGTCACATTTTCAAGGAGTGTGAATCCTGGTGCTTTAGAGAAAAAACTCAAAGGACTTCAGAGAGATGGTTGGAAAGACAGACATAACTAATCGATTATAACACTCATAGAAGAAAGTCACGTCAAACGTGTAACATGAAAAGTCAAAATCGATAAAAAAAGTCATTAGTTAACGTGAAAGAAATATCGATGACAAATAAGTTTTTATTAGTAAAATTTAAAAGTGTAAACGTATCTGAGTTCCCACATAGATTCTGTGCAATACTAACGGCAGTATCTACCCTTGTAACAGCAGAAGGCAAGACAATGAAGCAGAGGTATATGTGCCATTGATCAAACCGCTATTTATATATACACAGTTTATATTCTTTAAACAACCACTGAGTGTGTGATTTTGGTTTACATTAAACTACATAAAATAGAATGTTCAAATATATATAGCATTCTGTTGCTAACTCAGTATTGAACTGTGGGAATAGTATTCAGACGATAACAACAACAAATACAATGATTCTTACTGTGAGAATAATATTCCGTTGGAACCCATTGGCTGTATCACACCACCACACCCTCATTTAATAAGTTGGTTAATTGTTATTAAGATGAGATTAATCATGGTTACCAGTTTTATGTAAAGAGATTAGTTCGAGGTCACTGCATAGCAAAGGACTAATCAAAACCTAGTAAAGTTAGAATTCTTTGTTTGTTGATAATTCTAACGGCAGTCCAAATATTCACTTTGTGTCCAACTTCTATGAGATGTCAAGCGATTGGACTAGTAAATAACTTTTTTTACTGTAGCTTGACTCCACACAATATTTTTAATACAAGTATGGAATTTTCAGCATTTGATATTGGTAGCCCAAATTTAGCAGACTGACTATTGGTATCATGCGTGCGTCGGCCGGGGACCAAACCCCGGACCATGTGCATGGTCGGCGAGCGTCCTAACCGCTATGCCACCGACTTGGAACCTTTGAGTCGTGGGCTTCTGGGAACACGTCAGAAAAACCGAATGGGTGACCACCTTTCCGTCCTTCAAGCGTACTTGCTCTCGTACCTACATGTGAACGCAGTTGGACGTGCATTTGAGGCAGTATCCGCCTACTTTCGAGTGATAAATACCACAAGTAGTTCAACTGATAAGAATAAGTTTAACATCAGAATAAATTCAAACCAAGTGAAACTCTTAGTCTCTAGTTTCCTTGTTATTGCAAATTATTCCCATTGAACGTCAACTGGACTTTTATCGATCGTAACGAAATTTCACTCATTTCCATGATTTGTTTTGTAACTAATCCATGAATTCTCCCGGAGAGCCGTCTTTAAACAGGTGCTTTTCGAGAAAGACCAATCTTAGATGGAACATTGTCACACTCTCTCAAACAACAACCTGAGCGACTTCTGTTCGCACTTCATTGAACAGAAACTAGGGCAGTTTAAGAGTTGTTTAGTCCAGGCATCCTTGAGGCATATGCCTATCTCGATCTAAAGAAAGTAGAACCAATTGTTTTTTGTGAAAAATTAATGCTCCAATGTGCATTGTTGTGCCACAGCTATTCCATCGATTTGCCATGGGAATTAACGTCCAACCTATTCTTATTGATATATTCATGGGAAATTTAGGAACGAATCAGACGAAATTTTCAATTGAAGACGCCAGTTTTCATGCAAGGTAAATGATACATTTGCAAGAATATAAACCATATTCATAAAGTATTCCAAAGTTCCAATAACTCGCAGCATCGAAACATATCCTTCCCAATAGAATATGAGCTTTTTTGGTATACAGCTTTTAATGAGCGATCATACTGAATTATTAGCGTACTTCAAGTAAAGTCATGGGAAATTAGCAGGTTTATGTAATGTAATGTAGGCGGCTTTGTCACGTTGTGAATGACGAATAAAGATGGTTAACATTATATCAATGACTAATTTTTTTCTTTAAAAATGTTCAAAAACAAAAACCACAACTTTTCCTATTAGTTTCGATACGATATACCAATAATCCTCCTTTCAAGGTTGTTTTAACATCTATGCTAACTACCTAACATGTGGAGACGAGTATGAGGATGAAGCTGCTCTAGAAACAGACTAAAATAATTTGTGTAGAGATATATCATATCATTTATAAGTACAACGTTTTCTTTTTTCCTTTTCTCTTTTTTTGTGCTGTGCTGTTTTGTTTCTCTCTTCCTTACAAACTTTACTTAAAACATTCTTCTTCGTTCTTTCACACTCTGTATATCTCGACCTTTTTGTTACCGCTTACGCCAGTGAATATGCTAGTGTCTACTTCTCTAACACCTTCAAATATTCTGTTCACTTTTGGCTTTGCTACCGATATGCTAATATGTTGTTGTCGTCAAAACTAACTGAGATTGCCCATAATCTATGTAGAATTTTACTTATTGTTAATGTACAAACTGGATGCAATACTGTAGTGAAATGATGAGAATTCCATTCTGGATCACAAGTATTGTTTTGGAATAAAGCAAATTATTATTATTAATTCTGCTTTATAAATACTCATTTATGATTTCAAAGAACGTCAGCACAACTGAACTACTGAAATAATCAATGATTGGGCTCATATGATAAATCCTAATAAGGTGGTTGTATTTGATGATATTAGATGGAAGCCTTGGACCTAGGTTTCGTGCTAGTTGGCACTCATCAGCAAGGAGTATCTGCAACCTTGAAGGAACTCATGTCCCTTCTGAGATTCGAACCTGCGTCACCCAGTGCTGCAGTCAGAGACATTAGCATTGAGCTATTCGGGCTCGCGATTGACCTCCTGTGGGACTGTATTTGTATGCAGATTGATTTACCCTTTATTCATCTCAAATGTGACACGGGATTCTTCAAGAGACCACATAAGGATACAAAAGATTCATCACTTCAAGATAGAATAATAATCGCGTCTATCATCAAAAAGGAATCGTTCATCTTGTTACTCATTAAAACAAACTTGGTACACTATGGGCACCAAGAGATGCTCCACGAAAGACCTCATAGTTTGTGCGATGACCAGGATACTACCTGGAGACCTAGACCGAAGATGGTTGTTTTGAAAAGGCCATCCACTTCCGGACCCTTCGATTCGAAAGCTGATTCGCAAGGTAGAGGGGCAGCATCATGAACTACATTGCCATGGCTTCCACTAACCACAACAGGTTCATACTCCATTCGAGTTCTGGAGACCATATACACCATAGGTTTGGAATCTGTTTTCCAACTCGTTTAGGTAGACCTACATTTCCATCAGTCCGGTTGTAAGTGCCAGACGTTCGCGTTCGCCCTATAAATTCTGTGAGGAACACCCCAGCAGCATAAAAGTACAGAGGCAGAGGCTATGAACGCGTGATAACATGAGAGCATTTTGAAGGGAAGACACCGAAGTCTACCAAGCTTCGGATGCACTAGGTCCTTTATAAGGGCCAAAAAGATTCGTAGAGTTCTAATGAAGAATATTGCAATTAGGCGCGCTAGTTACCATGAGTAAGAAGTTACAACCTAATGTTACACTATCATAATTGACGGAAAAAATATTAGAAGAATCAGCTACTCCAATTGCACAATTAAAACTTTACACTTAGGGAAATTAAAGTTGTTAATATCATAACACTAAGTAATCTTATCTTAGATCGTCATTTCTGATGACACAAAAAAATGTATGTATATAAACAAAGGAGATAAGCAATAATTGACTTCTAAATCATAAAA